AAATACCAGAGGATTTCAGGGGAGTCAGAACCAAGGGGGAGAGGAGACTGGCTGCACTGCAGTATTTAAGGCAACTCCGCAACATAGGCCAACAAAAAGGATAGGCAGGTCACCTATCCAAAACAAGAAGCAGTGCAGTAAGGGAGAGCTATGGGAACATAGTTTGAAACAAAAAATCATCTTGAAATAGGCATATATGTGCAGAAGCCTTGAGCTGAAAACACTACTCCTACAGTAGTAATTTCCAGAATGATTACAGTGGGATAAGATGCCGAATATACACACTCTATTTATAGAATTACATGCAATTTAGGCAGAAAACTAGTTTCATCAGCATAAACAAATGCTTGAAAACAGTCAACTTCCCCCACCTGCACAGTCCTGGAGATAGCTACTCTCCCTTCATAATGCCATAACAGAGCTGCAGGGAAGGGCAGGACCCAAGAAAAACAGTATTCTCCTTGTGCAACTTCTGCAGAAGTTTGAATCTCATCATTGCAACTCCATTGACAGGCAACATTGCATTGTGCTGAGATAAGCCTACGTGCATGTTTTCTCACTAAAACCCAGAAGCTCCAAAGGCAGCATTGTCTTCTAATTCAGAACTAAGACAAAACGCAAGAGAGGATGAAAACAGTGATGACTTGAAAATCTCTGCACCTGCAGATATAATGCTTGCTAGCAACAGCAATACATTTAGTTAATAGCTAACACCTGCGTGTCCTGCCAGCTCACCACTGATTCCAGATGAGTATTTGGAGCAAGTGGTTAAACAGTTCCTAAACTCCAGTCCGCAGCAGAGGAGCCAGCTAGCCAAACCACCACCAGTACCAAAAATTATTACATTTACAACCTCAGTCTTAAAAATGACTCAGCGACACAAAGGCAAAAAAAAGACTTCTGGCATAAAGATAAAGTAGAAACTAATATAAGTAGGAAGATGAAACGATAACACTCATACTTCAGGAGGGGAAAGAAACTATCATTTCCTACAAGAGAATAGCTATGAAGATGTAAGAATTTTGAAAGTGGAAGCAGCACCATCGTAGAGGAGAGGCTGTGTAAATCTAACGCAGCAACCCCACACTGCTCAAAAGCTAGACTTCAAAGACCAAAGCAATGTGAAATCTCATATTTGCCAGACACAGAAGCATTATTTACAGTACTTACTGTGTTTATACTGTAAGCATATAACTAAAGTTCACTTGCAATTAAAATGTGGCATTTGAGAGTTTCCTTAGGATTTACAGCATTTGAAGATGTTCCTCAGATTTTGATTGGCTTCTAAAATCTTCCATGCTAACCATGCTAACACAAAGCTCTTTTTTTTTTCCCCACCCTCTCCTCCCTTTTTTTTTGGTGGTGAGCAAGGATTTGAGGGTGAAATCTTATCCTTAAAGTTCTGTACATGAGAAATTGTGTTTCATAAAATTGATTCAGAATCACAATGAATTTAATTACCGCCAAATCAAAACCAAATCCACCTAGACTGAAATACTGTTTCTTCTGAGATAGCACCACCTCCCAATGCTTGTAAAAAGCCAGCTCCTTCTGGTTCATAAAAGGGAGATGTAAATTGCTTCCTGCTATCTCAAAATAGCTGAGATGTCTTAGTTACTACCTGGCTAAAATAAATTGTTAGCAGTGAAAACAAGTCCTCTGCATTTATTATTTAAGCGGCTGAGGAGAAAAAGCAGCACCTTAAAGGGATCACACCAAAGCACAGTGATTCTTCCATTAGTCAAAGGTGCAGGTCAGTACAAGTCGAAACATCCTGCTTTGCATTTTTGCATCTTCACAGCTTAGCAAGTCTGCAGCTCCAGTGACTAGAACCCAATCCAGTTTATTAACCAAGGCACATCTCGGGTATCACCACAGCACACTTGCACACAAATCAGAGCACCACGGCTGATCTTATACTGTTCTAGCAAAAATCCCTCCAAGTGCTTTTTGGAGAGCTCCTGGACTCAATGGGCTGAGCGAGAAGGCTTTTCAGCTCTTTCCTCTTACGACAGTGCCGGACTGAAGTTCATGCAAAATTTGAGATTACTGTTTCCCAGTTGAACCAAGAACCTAATCTGCCTTCTGGAACAATTGCATCATGTCACAAGATGACAGCATACTCCTAACATCTCAAATTCTTGTCCCTGAAAAACACGTGCAAGAGTTTTCTGAATAGTCTCTGCCAGCACAAAGGAAAAACCAGACAACACTGGAATAAATATCAGTATGAATCCTTCTTTCTCTAACGACATCACCATCAGGTCAAAGATGACTTAGATAACAGGACAAAGAAGATGATACCACCACAATGAAAGATCAGCTGGCGTATTCACATAAAGGCAAAAGCAGACATCCTGTGGTTTTGATGAACAGCAAAAGATGAACCGTTTCAATCAGATACTCAAGAGAACTGCAAATAAATGAGAATCAAATCCAAGGCTTTAACAGATCATGGGGAATGCCAGGAAGAGTCAGCAGAACATACCAGCTTTCCAACACTCAAAGCACAAAGACTTTTCACTGAAGATCCAGGTGAGCAAAAAGGGCACCAATCCAAACCCCGCTTCCTGAAACTAGCTCATATCTAGAGGGTTTATTCTTACCAGAAAGCAGGCAGGCTCATGCCTCCTTTTTGACTGATACCACCCTGAAAAGCCTCCAAGTTGGAATGAAATCAAAGTCTTATCTTCCCCCAGGATGCACTGATACAAGATTGGGAGAGTTCAGTTCAGAATTTGGTTAAAACAGCAAATTTAAATTTGAGAGGAAAAAAAACACAGATGGAGGGGCTGCCTGGGAGGAGAGACTGAAGCCCTTATGAGCTTGCTTTGAGAAGCAAAAAGGACTGAGATGTGGAAGATGACAGCAGAGAAATAAAATGAATCTCACTGAGCCAGAGCTAGGGCTTTTATCACTAAAAATAACAAGCATTTGTGGGAATTGGCTACTTCACCTTCTTCTGAACTTCCCCTCATGCGTTCCCCCCCGATCAAGGTGTCACTGAAGTATAAAGCATTTCTTCCGCTGAAAGATATAATGCCTCCCTGTATTTAATCCTGCTGCTAGATGAATAACTCCAGAAAGAAAACAGCAATAGTGGAAGACAGCAAGCGCAAATACTTTTGTTTTCCAGTTGGACAGTGGTGGATAGCACCCCCCAACAGGCAACCCAGGTGGGTGTTTCTTTGTTCAGAGCACACCCAGCATGGGAGAGGCATTCTTACTCGGCCAGCAGGCTCTCTCTAGGCACATGAGGCCACCTTCAGCAGCAATAGATACTTTCCAGACCCAATCAGTCCTTGCAGTCTCTACCGACGCTGCCAGGAAAGCCCAAGTGTGCCAGCAGCAGCATTTGCAGAAATGATCCTGCTTTACACAAAGACTGGCAAGGAAGCAAAGGGAATTACAACCCTCTGTTAGCTATTCCCTCTGCCCTTATAAGGGAACATCCCAGGCCCCACTGGGAATATGATGCTCTTGGTGGACATGAAAGGTAAGGCAATACCTGAGCATCAGCACATGAGGACAGAATATTCCTTTTCTGAAGAGCAAGCAGAACCTATGAGTCCAAACTCTGTACAGCCACTTACGTGGGAGAGAGTAGAGATTAGAGGGTCAGCTGCTGACAGTCTGCACCCACCTTTCTGGGGAGAGTTATGCTGGTAATTTTAATCTTATTAAATATTGTTAATCGTATTACTAACTTAACTCTTTTCACATGTTGGAAGAAATTTAAAGAGAAAATTCCATATATGACCACACTAGGTTATATACTTTCTAGCCAAATCTCAATTCTGGGCAAGTCCCTTGCTTGCGAATTCTAGTTCTGCTACACACAGCTGTGATGAGTATGGAAGCAATCTGCCCAATACCAGATTACCTACTGGTCAGGTTCCCTGCCAGATTCTTCACTTCTGTCCAAAACCTGCTTGCTTTCTTCTCCTGGGATTCTGCAAGGCTCTCAAACCCTATAAAACTCATGGAATTCCATGCTCACTTTTCAACAACCCCTCAACCAAGTGGAAACCCCAATTTCCCCATCAGAATGCAAAACAACCTAGCACAACAGCTCAATACATCAGCGTCTTCCTGGAGCAGGGTGAGCACCTCTGTCACTGACTTAGCTGCCAACGTCACATGCACGTAAACACATCATTAATGTAATGGTCATTGATTTCTGAATTTAGTATGCAACACAGGACTCTTGTGACCTCCATTCATGGAGTCACACCAGAAACGAGCAGACCACAGCCAGTACTCCACCTTACACAGAATAAGGCACTCGTTCATAAAAATACTGACCCTGCTGCTGCAGAAACACTCTGAATTGTAGCCCCTTTCTTCATAACTACTGCAGCAGTCCGGATATGCTCTCAGAGCTACTCTTGTTCCAGACCGCTATGCTGAGCTAAAGCAGCAGTGACAGAAAGTTTAGAGCTCAAGATTTGGGAAAGATCTCAAATTGCACTGATGTAACAAAAAAAACACCTGCTTAGGGGGGCCCCATACACTTGCTGCACACTGCTCAAAAGGAAAAAAGAAGTCTCCAGAACAACAGGATACAATCACTCAGTTTCAGTACAGACAGTAAAACAAGTGCTGAGGGGAAAAACAGCCTTCCAGAAGTTAAAGGTGCTGCGTTTACCAGAAAGTTATCTTCTAACATATTTTTTACTGTTGCTGGAAAAAAAAAATACTGGCCAGATTGAACAACACAAACAATTTAGCCTCCCCCAAGTTAATAACTTAATTGCATTTGTAAGTCAGCAAAACAGACTTAACCATCAAGCAACTCTGCAGAAGGCAGTTATTGTTACCTCCCAGGCTGAAGTTTGAGGAGCGTGATGATACTGACTGGTAGCGCTCTATTTTTAAACACTGCCTGGCTTCAACCATTGTTTACTGCTGCGCCATTCACAGCCTAACCCCTGGTACGGGGCTCCCCCCCGGAGACACTGCCGTCACTCATCCATCCTTTCACCGACTAACAGATTTCTTTAGCGCCTTCCGCAGCAGCCCGGTGTGAACACCCGCAGCTCCCTCACACCGCGCAGCCCCGCAATAACTTGTGCCTCTTCTCTGCCTCAGGAAAAACAAACAAACAAAAAAAAACCCAAAAGAAAAAAAAAACCGCAGTATCTGTTGCAAACG